TCAACTCATGTGAACTAAATCCAGAGTCTTAGAACGGCTTTTTGAAGGATGGTATCTTGTTAATATCCTCCCCAGTGGCACAGCGGTATGTCTGCGGACTTACAACGCTAGAAATCGGGTTTCGATACCAGTGATAGGCAGAGCACAGATAGCCCATTTTGTAACTTTGTGTTTAACTTCAAACAACAACATCTTGTTAATATTCAATATAGGAGTTACTGAGTACAGTTGACAGAAACTTGTTGTTGATGGAACTTATATTTATATTAGAAATAACTTGTGTTGATATAAAAAGTTGAGATTTCTATTATCGTGGAGGAGACTGTCATTTTTCTTTTCTTTGAAACTTCATCAATTTCAAGCCATCTGTAGAGTATCTATAGAACTGCAAGGTTTGGTACGTTAGTTGAATTGGTTGGATACATCAAACTAATCAATGTTTTCTGTGAGGTTATCGTGTTTATTTTTATGGTCTCTACAAAGTGAGCTTAAAATGTGAGAATCCAGAATTCGTGAAGCACTTGAACAAACAACATTCGGCGATATAACTTACAAAAGAAGTTACAAAAGTTAGTTGAATAGGTTGGATACATCGAACTAATCAATGTCTTCTGTAAGGTTATCGTGTTTATTTTTATGGTCTCTACAAAGTGAGCTTAAAATGTGAGAATCCAGAATTCGTGAAGCACTTGAACAAACAACATTCGGCGATATAACTTACAAAAGAAATTGATATTAAGCTACCATTCGTATAGACGTAATGGTTACTAAGACACATAACTCGTACTCCCCAGGAGTCAGCAAGAAACATATAGATACGATTAAATACCTCAATAGCTTAAAGTATCCTAACAGTATAAAGATGGGCGTCACAGACAGCTTACTGTCCAAAATGAACAAGATTTGTAATACAGAGCGTTCTAAGTATAAAGAAGAAAAACACATTGTTACATCCATCATTGACGATGGATATCCTGGAACCTTGATAAAGATAGAAATAAAGAAGATGACAAACACCATAAATAAATGAGGACAAAATTACAGGTATGACCATGTTTCCCCTTGGTTTGTTTGTTTGTTTGTTTTGAATTTCGCGCAAAGCTACACGA